CTAATATTTGACTATTTGAATATTGAAGCTTTTTAGGTCTTTCTCCATAGTTTCTCTGTTGATGCTAATCATTTTGTGTATTTTAACATCCATAATCAACAGGGAAATAGTCTTAGTATTCACTGCCTCTAGAAGTGACAGTACTGGTAACAGTTTATTTCTGGAAATATAATGTTCAAATTTCTCTTTCAGTCTGCTATAATACTCAGGCTTTTTCTTTTTGGGCCTATTGACTGGCCACAACAAAGGGCTTGCTGCATTGAGTGTTGACTCAAGAAGTTAGGATTCCGCCATAATGTTGGTGTTCAGTCTGAAGTCAGATCGGCTGATCGGTTGAACTCTCTGCCTTCGGGCGGGGAGGAACCTGAACGAGGCTACGCCGAAGGGCGGAGTCTCTTTTGGGGAGGTAAACCGACCATGAACCCGTTTATACGAGTTCAAAGGGCAAATTTTTGGCTGAGCACACAGGCTCGGAGATCCCACGTTAAAACAGCCTTGTGCCACATGATGCCCTCGTGGGGGGGGGGTGACTAAATACTGTTCCCACGACACCACTCGCAAACAAAAACAATTCAACATACAAGAATTCATGTACAAAGAACAAAATTAACAAATCTAGCATGAACTCAACTGTCATGAAGGCATTCCAGCTTGAAGTAAACTGAACTGTTAAGCTTACATTCCCTGTATTTATACTGCCATCTATGTTGCTAGAACATTCTAGAAATTTTTGAAACTTTTAGAAACTTCTCAAGAGTTTTTTAAAATTCTACTTCAGCAACTCGGCACTGAATCTGTCTGAAATGTAATAGAAAATAGGTTAGTTTGAAGTGAATAAGTCATTTCCTTTACTTTCTAGACACATGCAATTATGAAATAATACTTACTGACCAAAGACAAAAAAACTCAAAATTTTGCTACAGTGTTATTTATTGCACTTCCCATTTAATGAAAATTAGGATTGGAAAGTTCAGCAGAGAAAAACAAAAGTGATATATTATCATGACTAGAACATAGAACTAATAAACCTGATGATGCTTATTTGTTAAAACATCTTAACCCATTTATGCATGACACCCAATTTACATTGAGGTGGTCCTGATAATGTTTCCTTTGCTCAGTATATTATGACTTATCAGTTGTAGCCCAGATTTAACTAGATTAGAATTGCTAATTATAAAATGTTTGATCCATTTTGTAACATGTCATCTTTATGAAATGGAAACAAATAAGAGATTTTTTTTCTCTTTGCATTCATTTCATGTTGTTTTATCCCTATCTCTCTCAATCTCTTTCTCTCTCTCATATATATATATATATATATATATATATATATATATATATATAGAAAGAACAGCAAGATATATAATCCAGTGTTCTTATAGATATTTTTATTTTTACAAAATAGTGCTCAATGTAAATTTACAGAGCATTAATATTATAAATCAATTGATTTAAAATATGGTTTCTTCGCTACACAGTTCTATGTTTCAAAAAATGGAAGCTAAAAAAGCCCCAAATTTAATTTTGTGATTAAATTAAAGACATTAGTTCCATTTCATCCTCAAGCAATTTTGAGTAATAGTTTATATATATATATATATATATATATATATATATATATATATATATATATATATATATATATATATATATATATATATATATATATATACCTTTTATCTATCCGAAAAAGAATAAGTACAAATTCAGCAAATGACAAGATATTCGATGAACATATTAATTTCTATAATAAAGCTAAAAAAGATAGTGGCTACAAAAACCCAAAACTAACTTACATAAAAAATGAAAATGGAAAGCGTAGGAAAATAATTTGGTATACACCCCCATACAACCAAATGGTAAAGAACAAATAGGACAAAAATTCCTTGCATTAATAGTCAAGCACTTTCCTAGAGAAAGTAAACTAAGTACTATTTTTAATATAAATACACTAGAATTAAGTTACAGCTGTACTGAAAACTTAGAAAAAATTATTAAGAAACATAATGCTAATATCTTAAATAAACACTTATACCAAAACCAAAAAATTTTAGACAATAGAAAAATAAAAACAGATGAAGATAAACAAAAATTATGTAACTGTAGAAACCCTCATAACTGTCCTCTGCAAAATAAATATCGCACGGCATCATTAGTATACCAATGCAATATCTCTTCTATTGAAAATCCTGAAAACATGAAAATTTATATAGGTTGCACAAGCCATGAGTTCAAGAAATGGTACAATCAACATCAAAGTTCATTTAGGATAAATAAATATAGAAATCAAATATCTTTCAAAGTACTTCTGGCACTTAAAAGAATCCAATAAAACACCTACAGTAAAATGAAAATTAATAAGAAAAGCTAGAATATGTAGGTCATTAAATGACCCATGTCCTTTGTGCATACATGAGAAACTATATATTACAAAGTTTATAATAAATAAAAATCTACTGAATCAGAGAAATGAAATAGCTATTTTTTGCCGTCATTGTCAAAAATTTTCCTTAAATAATATTTAAAAATAATATTAAAAAAAATGCGAGCTGGTAATATACATACTTATATTTGATATGAAAAAATAATTTTATATAATGTAAGTAATTCTATTATATTTACTTGTTTTAAAAAGAAATATAGTCTATTAATAATTAATGTGAAAATATTTTAAAATTGTAGTTAAATAAAACATATTCTAACCTAAGCATCCCCTCAAAAATCTTTAAGTATACAAGTAGGAAAAAATGCTGAAAGAATTTTTGCTATTAACAATAAAATTTAAAAAAAAACCCAGACACCCGGCATTTAACAGATGTCAGAATTCATTGAAAAATACATCCATACCCCTCCCTAAACTTAACCCCTTTTTCGAACATAACTAATAACTGATACAACAAAAGTTAATAAAAATGAACACGCTACCACCACTTGTCTGAATAATTGGATTTCTCTGTATCCTTGGAAACGGTGAATTATGAATTTTTGTGTGCGTTTAAAACTCAGTAAATTTAAAAAAATAAGTTACTCCAATATTCGCTTGAAGATGAAATGGAACTAATGTTTTTAATTTAACTACAAAATTAAATTTGATGTTTTCAGCTTCCATTTTTGAAACATGGTTATTACTGTCTAGCGAAAAAACCATATTTTAAACCAGTTAATTTATAATATATATATATATATATATATATATACACACACACACAATATATTTCCACATATAAGGCAACATTTAGATAATATGATATAGCAAATTTTCAAGATTTTATCCTATACCTGTAGTATAAGATGACTGCTTATTGATTATATAAAAATGTTATTGGAAATGTTGTTACTTACTATATCCTTAAAAATTCAAAATAAATAATAACAAAACCAATTCTGTATCATTTTTTTTCTACACACATCCTCAAAAAGGGGAAACCATTGTTTTGTTTATGCTTCACGTGATCTCTTGCAAATACTAATTTTTTTTTTTCTTTTCCTTTCTTATATCTAAATCACAAAATGCTGCTAATAACAGTACGGTAATAGTACATTTCATTTTCAACATCTTTTATTCAATCTGTTTGTAACTTCTTATATAACACCAAAATGATAATGAATTTTTAATGAGAAATGAATATTGTGTTATCCTAAACGTTATGACTGTCCTAATTAACACTTCCATGATGATTATTGAAAGTTTAGTGAAAGATAAAGATTGCTGTGTATGCAATCATAAACTTGATGCTTACATTTTCTCAGCTGAGCATGCAGGGACACAAGTTGATTTCATTGATATAGAATTATTTGTCAAATAGGCAATTTATTATGAAGTTATGCCAATATATATTACAAATATATTACTACAATTTGACAGTCTTCTCATGTACGTTATTGGTTATCCCACTAGGGCCAAGACTACCAACAAATATCACTCAGAATTTAAGGTTTCTTTTTTAGAATTCTAGTATAAGACGACCCCAAAATTTTAAGGATGATTTTCGCTTTGGTCGTCTTATATGTGGAAATATACTGTGTGTGTGTGTGTGTATGTATGTATGTATGTATATATATATATATATATATATATATATATATATATATATATATAGCATCAGTGGAGTATTTTACAACACCTTTTTGGAATGCAAAATTAGCTGGAAAATTTTGTACACATTAACTATTATTCTGATTAGTATAAAAGGATTTATGTTAACAAAATGGAAAAAAGTCAGTTTCTGATAAAATGATAGTGCAAGTCTCTCAAAATTTTATTTTTCTGCTTACAGACACATATTTATTCATCATAATCATCTATTTACGATAATGTACTATTTGTCACTTTCAATTGTTGTTACAACTATTTCATTGTAACAGAATGATTAACTAAAATCCTAGCTACTCTTAGTTTTTTTTTTTTTTTTTTTAAAAAAATCATTTGTTGGTGCTGTTATTTTTGCCAAGCTCTGTGACAATAGGAGAGAGAGCCAAGGAGAAGTCTGTTCATCCATTTTTCCAAGCGTAAACAGTGAATCTCAGCTGCCATTCACTCTATTTGCCACTTATGCTTTCTGTGCTGGTAACCTTTGTACTACTTTGTACCTTCTGCATAAGAATAAAGAGGGAGACGATTAATGGATAATAATATTGCATTTTTCATAAGATTTCTTACTGTGTTATAGCCTTGTCATTCTGGTGAACTAATCTCTTGCATGTTATAACTTGAATGATGATAAAATAAAAGTATGAAAAAAAAAAACTCGAGTGTTGACCTAAAAATATGTAAGTATTTATAAAAGGTATATTTATATTATTGGTTGACATTTATCATTTAAATATTTTGGTGTGATGGAAAATAAAAACTATTTTTGTGACCTTAAATGTAGAGCAGGTAAAAATTGAGATAACAAAAGCAACTGAAACCTTCTGCATTCTAAATAATGGTTATTCAAAATTAAGAATAGTTAACTGTTTAGTTTATTGGAACCTTTGTTTTTTTTTATTTTCAGGCACAAAAATTTTTAAAGGTGAAGGCCGCTTGAATCTTTCCACTCAAACTCTGGTGTTCCTGAACCAAGCAATGAAAGAACAGTACCATACAAACTTTGGCAATGAAAATGAAATGATACTTACTCTTGATCAAAAACGGAAATTAAATACCGTGAAAGATGATATTCATTTTGTCACTGAAGTCCTTGTTCATACCACATCATTGAAGGTTTGTCTTGCTTGTATTCTTTCATAAATAATTTGTCTTTAAATGGGTGGGTGTGGAGGAAATTATTAGAATGTTTTCTTCTCATTCAAAACAATATCTCATTTTTATTGTACAATTCACTGTCTAGACTTATTTCTTGTATATATGTTGTTATATTAGTTAAAATTGTTGCTCTCTGGATGGTATTACTGATCATTTAATATCTGCCATCCCACCTGGATTAGGCCATCCACAAGAGGTCAAAGAAGAGTTGTCCATCTCAGTTTTTTATTTTTTTATTTGGTGAGGTAAATTTCTTATTGGGTAGGAGGACTAACCCATGTCCAAACCACCTCCTTTCATATTTGGGTTTGATATTGTCAGTAGCAGTTTGTCTACAGAACCTGATCCTTCTGCTTTTTATCAAAATAATGTTTTCTTTCTTGATTACATAAACTGATTCTATTTTTACACTAATTTTTTTGTATAGTTATACTTAAAAGAAAAAGGGTTTTAAATATAGAGAATTATTCTAAGGAAAATGTTTGAAATAAAAACAAAAATATAAATGCAGATTCAAGAAAAAGCAAAATTCACTCATTTCAACTAGAGTTCTTTGGGATTATTAATTAATTTTTTTTTCTTCATTACAACATTTCAGCTAAACCATTCTACAGTCTTCCCGAGAAGTACAAACTGTAGGGAAATATAGTGGTAGTGGGTCCACTCATACTAATAAAAAGTTGGGTATGTAATATAGATTTCTCTTTGTACTATGAGTAATGTTTCCAATGGTATAATAGGTAAAGATCTGTGATCTCAACAGCCAAACTGACAGAAGAGGGCAGTGCCAGTCGGGTTGTTGTAGTCAAGGCGGACTTTCACAGACCAAATATCCGCTAACTTGATGCAACCACATTCTCTCCTGTCTCAATCCCCATTTAGCCACAAGGGAGATGCTTCTGATCAAATGTATGGGCTTCTCCTTCATATAGAGTGGTCCACCAAAATCAATTTCACATGAATAGCCTTGTCAAACTCTCTTTGACTTTGCTTTTCTTCAAGAGTAGGCTGGATCTTCACAGCCATCTCTGTCACCACCACCAGTGGGGAGAAAGGGAAGAAGGAGAGAGGATGAAGATACCGATGTTAATAGGTGCCAATGATCAATAATATTTGCATTAATTCCTGATCACAGTTGTCCTTTTTTTTACCTCCTTATTTTCAGTGTACAAAATGAGAAACATATATACTTTAAAAATCAGATAAAATAAGAAATAACATGTAGAGCTTTTAAGTTTGAAAATCAGAAGATTAGTTGAATCCACTACCGTGGTTTTGACCTTACAGTATACTTAGGCAATTTTTATCATTTGACTTCCAAACACTTTATTTATTTATCTCCTGATTTTTAATGTTAAAAGCTCTGTGTGTTATTTTTATTTTATTTTTTCACACGTGTATTGAGCACTTTTTAATACTACTGTTTCCTGGTTTGATTCAACTCTAACCAATAACCTTTTATGAGTAGTATGTGTATATATATATATATATATATATATATATATATATATATATATATATATATCTGTTCCATCTTCAAGCGAAATTTTTTTGAAATAACGTATTTTTTCAATTATTAAAACACATAAATTTCAGAAATATGTTATTCCAAAAAAATTGTTTGAAGATGGAACAGAGCTTACTTTAACTCAATTTAATTCAAATAATTATATTGAAGTTTTAATTCTTGTTTTTGAAATATGAGACTTCTTATGTCGCGAATTGGAATCATATTTTTTAAATAAATAATTATATTTATGCTCTACTTTTGTATCGAAAGCACTATTTTTAAAATAATAACTAAAATACTAAGGAACTTTGGATTATTTACCTAACCAGTTCCTTCCTATTTTCTATATATTTTCATATATATATATATATATATATATATATATATATATATATATATATATATTTTTTTTTTTTTTTTTTTTTCTCAAAATTAGGTGCTTAATCACATTTTTCTCCTACTGTTAGAAATATTGAGTAGAGGATAATGTAGAGTGGTGGTGAAATCAATAGACTGTGATGAGAAAAGGTAAAATTTTGCTACATAAACCACATTTAAATATAATTCATGTAAAAATACAACCATATTATTTTATTTGGGGGGGGAGCAGAATTTGCTGTCAGTTGATATATAATTATTAGAGTGAATGAAAGTTTATGTGTTTAACAAATCTTACCTTTTGATATAATAGCTTAGATAAACATCTAGTTATATTTATTCAGTATTAAAATTGATGGTATACATGAATTTAATATTTTAAGTCCTTACTTAGGTTTTCAGGCTTGCAGCCATATTGAACCATATTGAAACACTGGTTCTCATACAATCACAAGTTAAGCAACATCAAGCCTGCTCAGTAACTTGACAGGTGGCCATTTGGGAATATCAGGTGCTGTAAGTTTGGCTATGCAGGTGTTGTAATGGATAATACCTTGGAATTGGATATTGGAGAGCCAAGTTCCAATTCCAGTTGGGTTTGTTAGATTCACTTGTGTACAAATACCCTTGACATGAATTTACCTTTTTCCCCCCACCAGCTTTGAATTAATTGGTAGGACTTGTATCAGTAAATCATTATTATCTCCCCCAAATTATTACAATCTATTTTCTGGCTTTAAATAAACTGCATAAACTTTAAATAAACTTAATAAGCTGTAAAAAAACAAAAAAAAACAAAAAAAAAAACAAATCTTTCAATCAATTATTAGGTTTTCACATGTGAGTCTTAATTTTTTTCCCCCATTATACACTGCTCTTTCATTATTTTTTTCTTCATCACCTGGCTTGTCTTCATCTTTGATAATGATACTGCTACCTGTTGTCATTGCTTCAAGTGTGTGTGTGTGTGTGTGTGTGTGTGTGTGCGCATTTCATTGGATTAGAAAGTTTTGTGCGGGTATGATGTCAATATCTGATGACTTTACAAAATTCTTAAGTGTAACTTTGTAACTACTTGGTATATTTCAGTAATGCGTCTCTTTAAAGAACCAAAATTTCTTGCATCATGAATGGCATGTCTTTTTTTGTAATGAAAAAAAAAAACTTATTACAACTTAAGAAACTTAAGTATCTTTAATAAACTAATTTTACTGGCTACTGTTAGTACTGTACTGTTGGCTACTTAAAAGTATGTTGTGATCCAGGAGAATTTCTTAAGGGCTGATAAACTTCATTCAGATGGAAGTTCCTCAATGTATGTCAATTGTTATTATTACAATATTTTTTTTGTCTTTGTTTTATGAACCTTGTTTATCAAGTACTTTAATTGATCTACCAATATTTAAAATTATTTTGCGGTCAATAAGCTTGTTATTGTTATCAAATGATTTTAATGTTAATTTTTTTGTGTGAATTGGGACTAAAGTTTCTGAGGTTGGAAATTGATTACAACTGCTGTGATAATGAAGTTACTTTACATGCACACACACTCTCTCTCTCTCTCTAGTAGTAAGGCCTCTGATCATGATATCTGGTGACATTGAAAAGTGGATTCATGCCTTTTCTAAAAACATGATTATATACTAGACATATGCAACTTCAGCTTGAATTTGAAATCTGTTTCGTTTTTTTTTTTTTTTTCTATGCTGATATTTTTTTGCAGGTGGATTTTTTTTATACATGAAAAATTTGATCATTTATTAATTAGATACTTATGCAAAATATCAACTTCATAGATGTAGATAGAAGATAACAATACACTTACACCCTCTCCCACCAACCTCATCGAAAGAATTTGTAATAGATGACTTTGGGTTTCATACAAGGAGAAAGTTATTCATAGTATGAATTAAAATCATTGTTATTCATAGTATGAAAGTTATTCATAGTATGAATTAAAATCATTGTTGTAATGTTTAAATATTACAACAATGATTTTAATGAAACCCAAAATCATCTATTTACCTGGCATTTTGGTTTTCCCAGTGCATGCATATTTTTTAGCCATTCCACAAGATAAATCATTTCTGATCATAATTCCTACCATCAGTGAATGAGTACGACTTTTAAGAAAGACTGAGTTTCATAGGTTATAAAAATTTTCCCAGCAATATGTAGTAATTTCTTACTTGTAATCTCAAGTGGTGTTCGTTGTGAGCATATATCCTTCCATGTGTTGAACCTAAGAGGAGAAAAATGAACATTCGGTTTGTTTTCCTCTTGTCTCATCATGGCTGAAAGGGAAGTGACATAGGTAACCTCTCATTGGACACTTTCTATTTCCAAATCAGCAGTTGCAATTGTTTATATGAGTGGTTCCTTATTGTGTATATGTTTGTCATTTGCTTCAGGATCACCTGTCAGAATAGGTAATGTTCCATTAGGGTTGCCTGGGTGAACAGGTATGAGTTTGGAAGATCCAAAACTTATTATGACTCTAAGTCAATAACATCACTGATGATGCAATCCTGCACACCTGTTCGGGAGTATCATAACAAATATAATTTAAATGCATTTAAATTTCAGTTAATGTTTTTATTTTAGGTATTACTAACCCCTAAAACTGGTTTTATTTACTGAAAATATTGTTAAAAAGTTAAATGTAATTTACAAACTCAGCAATTACTTTAGTTTTAAAATAATTGTATGACTGTTTCAAGTTTACTTTTCTCATATTGTTTTGAATTTTAGTCATTGACTGATTTTCAAATGTCCTTTTGCTGTTTTATGAATTCTGTGTTCTGTATCAACTCTACTTGTCTGTTCTTGAATTATCACCAGTAATGCAGATGTGTGCCCAATGACACAATTGTTGTTTGCCTGTGTACTTCGCACTATTCTGTTTCATAGTTATATTTCCTTTACTTTTGTCATTCTCTAAATGGCAAAACAATTTTGTCTTTTTTCCTTTTCTAAATCAACAAAATTAAATTATGTCTGCCCTCATTATCTTTGTGGTACATTGTACTATTATTTATTTAAATATTTGGTAAATGACTCTTCTATTACT